TTTGCACTCTCCTACCGCACCAGGCTGTTGCACAACTGTGCTAGGTCGTTACCGAGTCCTACCGTCTTCAGACAATCACCACCATTGGTGGGTCTGGTTACTTGTTTCTAACACTGAAGGTTAAAGTCCCCAAAAGATTACCGTGCACGTCATCAACCTTCGTATTTTCAATCCTTCATATCCATTGATACTGGGAAATCTCAGACTTTTGCACTCGAACAGGACTCACGACGTTGCAGCGCGGTCAGTTTACATGGACAATGTTACCATCTCGTCCTTAGACTGGACCGCATCTTGTGTAGAAGACTCGCCCTCTTGTTTGGTATACTATTTCACGACAAAGTAGTCGGTTAAAATTCTCCCGCAGATCTGCACGGTCGATTTACCACTTGGCCGAGTGGAAGAGGTAGTTAGCATGAAGACAGATACCATTTATCTGCTGGCATTTATTGTCATATGCACCAAGACAAACTTAAGAGTTGGCAATTGAAAACATGTTCATCTCATTTTCTGCATGTCATCCAATCGGTTTCTTCCATGTCAAGGTACTCGCTGTTTTTATCATGAAAAGGTTAAATGCCAGAGTTGGTTCGTCGCCATCAATGACATTTTCCTTTCGTATCTTCGACACTGAAGAGTGCGGATCATTTTTCGCGGATCCATCCTATTAGGCTGCAACGTAACTCGGTTTACAGTCGCATTCCTGACATTCGGATGAACCTTGGCTGACAAAAGAGGTCATGCAGTTGAAGTTGTTTGTTTTGGGCTTAGCTGATGAGATGGTTTGAGAGAGTTCACGGTATTACTTAACAGAGGATCATGGTTCGGTTTATTTACGGTACGACAACCATTCTCGTCGCGATTGCTACACCGCATGCCACACTAATCCCGTTTATGGCACACAGGCATCCAATATTTCACACAGACACACACGTAGTCGACGACGTCACGAATGCATTATTGCGATTCACATAGTTTGTCCATCACATAGCCGTCGTTGCTCGATATACCTCGCTTGTTGAGAGCATTTGATAAGTGGCGCAATATCAGCTTCTCACCGATACTACAAATGCAAACGCCTCTTCTGTATTTATTGTTTTATTCAGCATGTGGGAGCTATATTCTGGTAGGCTTGGGTCCGGGTTGGCGATCTAAGTTACGCCAAATATCACTCATGACTCCCAGGGTTGGTACAGCAACTTATAGCCCAGGAAGCACGACACAGGCATGCTGAACAGAGAGGGATTGGTTTATCACCTTTTCTATAAATGAAGGTTGATTACCAAAAGTGAGGGGTTGCTGCTGTGCCCCACTTTGAGAACACTGAGAAGTTGGCGGTCTTTGATCCCTCATGCTTCCGGAATACTGCTCGCTTCTAGTGGGAACACTGGGTGAGCGATGCTTAAATCTATCAGTTGGTTTTGGGCAAGAAGCTCTCGGATGCTTCACTCGAGTGTTTGCTGTCTTAACCGCTTACGTTGGCTAGGTTATGTCCTCTGTATGCCTGTTGACCGACTTCCTCAGCGTGCATTAATTGCTGTCGCTGCACCAAGTTGGGCGAGACCGCGAGGTGGCTAGTCCATTATGTGGCGTTGGGGCTGGGAGCAATTGACTGAGAGCATTGATCAGGCTGGTGCGTCTTCGTTGATGAAGCCTCGGGATGGTTCACACGAGTTGTTGGAAACTCTATTAAAGATGGCGCAGTCGCGTAATCAGCGACCTCACTCCCGGCTACAAATAGTCCATCTCGATTAACTTTATCCTCTGTTTTATAGCCTTGTTTCATTTTTGTTTGCCTTCCACCTCATTTTCCTTACCAATGTTCATTACTATTATCTTGCTGATGCGAGTCTTGGTGACTAAATTCATCGCATTTTTGTGCCCGGATCGTGGAGGGTCTGAACTAAGCTGCTGGGGCTAATATGAGACTGATCACGTTTAACTACTGAAGCGTTGTTCAGATTTGGTGGAAGCGTCCGATGAATCATCCTGAAATCCTCTAGTCGATGGCTTGAATAGGAGCCACCCGGTGCGAAATGCCATGCCTCTCCAAATCGTATCGGCTGTCCTAGTTAGGTCGCGCCCCCTTATACTCCTGCCGATTGTATTCCTTTCACTTATTGCTCACTCGTGCGCGACTGCGAGTGTGTGCGCCTTTCAGATTTGTTATTTGGCGACTTGCCCTGTACTACTTAAAAACTAGTCGGTATCCAGTCTAGGGTATGCGTGTCGTCTCGTCTTCTCGAATGATGGCTTCGGGCTTGATCGCATTCGCAATTGCAAACTCTGTGTGTGTGACTTGCCATGGTCGAGTAGTCAAACACCATTCCGTTGTGTGCTGTTTTACATACACTTTCTCTCTCTGCTAGTTGCGGCGTGTTTTATGCGTCCTTTTTATATTTCATCTTCTTCCTACTTTTTCTCTTCATCGCAAAAGTCCCTCCTTCAGGGACAAGTAATTCGTTCAACAAGTGCGAGTCAACGGTAGCGGGTGACCGTTCGACTATCACAGCTTCGCATTATGTCCATATATACGGCGATACTACTGCTGTGCATTAAGGTATATATCTTAATCAAACAGCAGGGGACTCCCTGTGCTTTCGCTGATGGTTGCTAGTCCATTATTGGTGCTCCGTGGGTGGAAGTCTACTCTACTACTACCGAGTCCTTTCGATGCATGCCCCATCCATCGCCGAATTCTAATCGAAAATCCATTCATTTGCTCCTATTGGCCACTTCTGCCCTCACATTGCGCCTCTTATTGATTGGAGCCAATGCGAGGGAACCAACTGTGCTTGGACACATGTATTACAGCGGATCATCCGCTAAATTGCTTGCATCCAGTTTGTTGGATCAGTCACACATCTGCATATGCTCCACAACCACCATAACTTCTGACCTCCTTTTGATATGCGACTCTCAAAACTCTGTGTCTCATTTTATTTTATCCAGTTGACCATTTCTTCGCATTTCAGTTAAGCACGTAGACGTTGTTTATTAAGTCATACCGGAATGGCTGTCATTGACTGCGTAGCCTAGACTGCGTAATCACACGAGACAGGATAAAGAAACTATGGGATGGTGAACCTATACTAAACGGTCGGTCTAGGCAGAGAAAATAAAACGTAAATTCCTGTTATCATTGATCGATAATTCAAATTGAAAACAGTACGCAACATACAGATAGGTTTGCAACCGTAATGGGAAAGGGCGGAAACTGAAAGACGTGCGGTGGCGTGGGAAAACACTACAGTGTAGCAGTTTGCTAATCGGCAGTCTGTCAAGGATGAAATATTTGAACTTGAAGAATCAAGGATATGCCAATACTGCGAAGTGAAAACCTAGTGTTTCGGAAAACTGGTAGCTCGGGTTGATAATTCAGTTGCTCATTTGTTCGCCGAGCTGCAAAATTGGTTTGCAAACGTTTCACCGTCATGCGAGACGGCATCATCAGTGCGTCGAGATGTGGGGTGTAATCTCGCACACCCCACATCTCGACGCACTGATGATGCCGTCTCGCATGACGGTGAAACGTTTGCAAACCAATTTTGCAGCTCGGCGAACAAATGAGCAACTGAAAACCTAGTGTTTCATAATGCAGGTGTTTGAAGCAAACGTGTATAAATTTTTGTAAGGATATAAGTGAAAGATTTGAAAATAGGGATCGCATGTACTCAAATAGGTAACCCACTTTGGCTGAATAGTGAAAGTCCTCTTTGGACTTTACATGAGGAATGCATTCACTTATCAATACCTGCTTTCTGTCTATGGATCTGGGTTTCTCTCCTGCCCCTATGCACGGTAACAGCCAGTCCGAATGTGGGATCTCCTTAACCCTGGACCATCTCGTGCGATGATAGGACAAGCTCTTTCCTGCCTATGCACAAAAACATCGTTACTTACTCCTGCGTTTCGACTGCTTTATGTATTGTTACCCGCCTTCTCTTCGCTACCGCCTTTTGTTTATCTTCCTGATTAGCCTTCTGATTACTCGAAACAGCTGCCAATTTGCTCATCCTTTTTTCACCGACCGTCGTTTGCTAGCGTGAGCTACCACCGCACTTTAGCCAAGACCTTCGCAAGACAACTCGAGTTTACTCACCAGCGCTACTGCGTTCATTGGCATGTTTACCTAATAATCCAGGGCTATCGGCTTCCTAACCAGGTCTCTCATTCTTTGCATACTTTTTGATGGGCACCGGCGACGAAGAAAACCGATGTCATCCAATCGTTCCGCGATACTTTTTCAGCATGTGAACGTTCTGTCATTTGGTGGGTAAGCCAGTGACGTTGCTGGTCCCATTCCAATCCTTGAACACGGCTTACTTCTTGGCTTTGCTCTGAGGGGATGCGCCGACATTTTTTGCACTTCGCTTTTTTCCTCCCCAAGCCATTCACGTTAGAGGCCGCCTTTCCATCGGAACGCATAACGCACGACTTTTGGTTCATTGCTTTCGCTTGTGTGTGTGCGTGTGTGTGTGTGTGACTTGCTACCTCAGTGAACAGCGTCATTGCCTTCCCATCCCACCTGCTAGCGCACTCATCGGATGTCCACTGTCTTGTGCACCTATCAACGCGGCCCATTTGCGAGCACTGCGTTTATTGCCTACTTTACAGTTTTGTATTACTGTATATGGCCATTTCAGCCGATCTGAATGGGCGTTCCATTCTGTCTATGCACTGTGTAAGTGTTCCCAATTTACCACACCATCTCGTTCTACAGAATCACCAGTGCCCTCTCTTTTCTCTCTGTCGCTTTCTTCGCCGTCTTCACTGATCGTAAATCGAATTCTTTAATAGCTCTTTGGCATACCAGCTTACTACATCCAATCTCCTTCCCATTTATAACTTGTGTAAGTCGCCACGCTCGTGTGGTCGTGTGGCATATGCCGCTCCGTAATTCGAGCCATTGGACTATTCTAATTTTTTATCCATCATTCTATAGGCTTACCTATTCTTGCCACTCTTCATAATTCCCATTCGCTTTATTGCTTTGCTAGGTTGAAGACAACTTCCACCGCAAGCGGTCGTGACCTTCTCGCTTGGTGCCAAGACGTGACGCGAGCTTATGCGTCAGTACACATCACCGATCTCACCACCTCGTTTCAATCCGGGCTGGCATTCTGCGCGCTTTTACATCACTTTTATCCAGACAAAATGTGAGTCAGCCCCCCCCCCCTGTATCATCTACATGTTGCTGTGTTCCATCGACGCAGCATTCGTCGGAACACAGGCGGTGACGTTGGCACCGCATGAGCTCACTGCTCTTGTTCCCCTTGTAGAGTTCACTTTGATTAAAGACTGGTTGGCTGTGTTGCGGAATCATTTTTGGTGTTTTGTGAAGCTGTTAAGAGTCTGTCGCACTGAATGTTTGAAACTAAATTTTGCTTGCTAACTAAACAAGCTTGGCACTACTCTACATATGTATCTGTGAACAAAGGCACAGTTTCCAACCGTGAGGAATGCTAATCTGTCACTAGGTCAGATCAGTATTTGCAGGAATTTCATGCTTATGCATGTATAATGCAAGAAATTAGTGGCCAAGTCTCAAATGGTCGCGTGAACAGTTTGTGTGTGGAGAGTTAAATCGGGATCCAGTATGAAGAAGATCCTTTTGGCCTTCTCATGAGTTAACAGGTAAACGCACGTTTCAATCACCCGCCGCCGAACTGTTGAACGCTCCCGATACTTTTCCCACTTTTCTCATCAGCCAGTGTTTTCACAAAGCGACGGTCACCCACTGAGGATGGATCCATATGAGGTTGTTAGATTGCTTATTGTCGCGCTAGCATATGTTTTGTTGGACTATGTTATCTTTTTATTCCTTTATTAATGCGGCTCAGTCTGCTGAATATAGTATCAGACGATACTCGACAGGCTTGTAATAAAGCGTATCACTGATGTGAACTGGTGATTGCTTCCATTTCACGTTAGCAATGAGTATTCATAAAGTAGTATTGTTCACCTGTCGCAGTTCTGTCACTCGTTTTTATACCTTTGTTAACCCCATGTCTAAACGTTCCATTTTCATCTTTGAGTAGGCCTCCAAGTCTAAAGTCAAAAATTCCATAAATCTCAAAGCAATCTGATAAGTGACTGTTTGTGTTCGTTCCTGATTCGCGGGTCGATCCACATTGGTCGGAATCCTTTCAATCGCCACTGCCCTACAGGCCAGCTGCATCGTTTCATGCACAATTTCCGGTTTCACTTTATCAATTTATGTTAGCACCAATTGTTCATCAGCTATCCTACCCCAGGCGATATTGGTCCACTGCTTGTAGTGTTCACCGTCTGATTGATTGTGTCCCTATCAAGAGGCCTTTTTGGTGCTGTGGCGAAAATGCATGATGAAACCAACCGGAACGATTATTTCCCCCGCATTGAAGCTGTCACCTCATTATTTTCGCTCGATCGTCACTTGACGGGATCGCAGCAGCTCAGCCGATATGATTCATTGTTGTACACTGCCGTTCGACTCCTAAGAACCCTTTATCTGTTATTGCATACTGTACATGCTCGCACATGTTGCATGACACGTACGCGTCGATTTTGCTGCTACCTTGCCACGTAACCTCACTCTAGTGCGTTCTGGGCGCCCCTCTTCAGATTCTGCATTGAGTACCATTTACTGGGTACGTTTTCCTTCTCCTTTCCGCAGCGATTTCGATCACCTCGTAGCCACTACTCCTGTTGACAACTGTCGATTGGCGTTTGACGTGGCCTCCAAACTCGGTGTCCCTCGTGTGTTGGACCCGGCTGAGGTCACATCTGCTTCGAAACCGCCAGATTTACTCACTATGATGACGTATTTGCATCAGCTGCGGACCCACCTCACTGGATCAAAGGCCAAGGAGGTTAATTTGAACAAGGATGCCAATTGTAATGAAAAGAGTTTGGAGAGCAAAGCGCTGCCTTCCTCAGCGGACCAACCTCTTCCTCCTGCTAAGTGAGTACTCAACTGTGCACTTTCTGTGGACGCAATGTTGTTTGCTACTAACTCCAATTTCATTCATTCAATCAAGCGAGTTTGAAGATTTTATCGCCGTTTAACATTATGATTGACGACTTCGTTACACATTCTTCATGTTTGATGACCAGGTAGGGCGTATAAATGATCATAATACTTCATATTTCGTTTATCTTTTGCTTACAAAGCATTACCAGCATCTAACGAAGTCATCAGTTATTGTTTTATTCCTAGACACGATGTGCTGCCTGAGCTTTGATTGCACTTACTGTCGATAAAGTCGGTCCTTCGGAGACACGGGTTTTATCCACCACAAGGCAGATTGATGCATGTTGTTCATGCTCTTTTGTTATATAGGATGACTTGCCAAACAAACAACCGGGCGCTTACCAATCAGCAAGCTGCGTTTACAGACGCCCATGCCTACTATGACCAATGGCCCAACCCACCGGTTCACCTTCCATTGTCTGTCTTGTTCGTTCCTCAACTCAGCCGTTCACGCATACCACACATACAAGGTTTACTTCGGTTGGTTCATGTTCATTAGGTATTCACTGACTAATTATCATGGGTTAAATCTTTCCTAAGAGTAAGGGCAAAATGAGACACAGATGCTGTTATCACTGCAACAGCCGCTCACGCAGCATGCGGCTTATACCTTCCATTTCACTGACAACTAAACGTACAAAACAAGGGGTCGCCGTTACGAGAAGACGAATTACGAGAAAATAAAGATTTAAGTTATGAACGGATGAAAGTAAAAGACTATTTTTGACATATCATTATCCAATGAGTACCAATATCCACTGGTGTCTTTGGAAGACATCTCAATGCAGACGCCAAGGTACCTGGTAGCAATCAAAGCAACCAGAAAATCTCTAGGCAAGCTCTAGCATTTAGAAACTTGTCTTACCAGTTATACTGTCATAGGGTAATCCGTCATGAGACTGGACCTTAACGTAGTGTGACGGTTTGTGTACCTCCTTGGCCCATTGAGCTATACTGGGTGGTGCCTACGGGTACCTTGAGAGCTACTCCTACCAGGTTGGTCAGTGATGAAAGGTCAGACAACCTCAGTCTCCTGGTCCTCCAGGTTGGGGGTTTGAATTGGGATGGCGTCCATTTCTGTAAAACTAAATCACTGCCACTCCCCGCTGGCTTGCGGACAGGCTTTTGAGCCAAAGGCTTTGGATGAGGACCCTAATCGTCCTCCTTTCTAGGTCTGGGCGCCCTGGCAATATATCAGCCCACATACAACCATGAGATTTTTTCAAACATAAGCTTCATCCTGCATCGGCATTCGCGCAGATTATCAAGGGTCGCCTTATCTACTGCATACACCAGGGCGGATAAGCGAAAGCATGTTAGTGCTGGCGCTTCCCTTCTTTCTTTTCCACCTGTTTCTCTTACCCCCATCCCGACCCCCATTACTAACCTTTCTTCTTTAATTCCCAGCTTATTTGACAGCAACCGAAGTGCCACTAGAGCGGAAGCATCTACAGCCACCTCACGACACCCATCGGACGCCTATCGACGGCAGTCCCTTATAAGGCCACTATGTCCCGTTTCCATGGCGACGTTCAACGTTCTCACCCTAAGACAAATAGGTCAACAGGCTGCACTCGCATGCACATTGTACACACTGGGTATTGATGTGTGTTGTGTGCCCGAAACTAGGATCATTGACCCTAATGGAGTTGTTGAATTAATTGCACCCGGCTTATCCTTTCGTTACTGGTTGCACGCATCCCGAGACGCTGGTGCAGCACTCACGGGTCAAGCTGGTGTGGCTATCATTTTAGGCTCCAAGGCTGAACCGTCGTTGGTTGATTGGATTCCGGTGAACAGCCGTTTATGTGCAGTCCGTTTGACGCCATCAGCTAAGGTTGATTTGCGAAGTAGTACAAAACGCTGTTTGTTTGTGATTTCCCCTTATTCTCCTACTGCCTACAGTTCAAATGCTGTCAAGGAGATATTCTATCACAAACTGAACACGCTACTACGCAGTGCTGCTAGTTCAGATATCATAATACTTGCAGGGGATATGAACGCACAAGTAGGGCGTCTGAGCTCTTCAGATGCTCAGCTGGTTGGTAATTATGGGCTTAACTCCGAACGGACTGACAGTGGCGAGTGTCTACTGCAACTGTGTCCGGAGCATCAGTTGCCTCTTAGTAACACTGCTTTCAGACACAGTGGGTGCCGAAGTGTCACTTGGCGTCCTCCTGTAGCTGGCCAGTGATGGACCTAAATTGACCACATAGGCACAAGTTACAGGTGGCATGTTTCCATCCTGGATTGCCGCTCGTACTGGCATGTCTGCGTTGACTCTGATCATGCCTTGGTACACTGTCGCTTTTCCTTGAACTTTACCTGGAGGCGCACCAAGCATTTCCTCTAGTTGGCAACTAAGAAATTATCTCAGCCCTCTGTCAGTCAAGCCTATCAAGGCGCACTGCATACCGAACTGTCTTATTCTGCTGACACAGAACTTCAGTGGAATAGGATCCCGACCGCCATGCAGGATGCAGGAGCACCTGCTTGTGGCACTATCCATCGTCACCGCACCAGTCACTGGATATCTGAGAGGTCAGTGAACCTGTTGGAATCTAGAAGAAACCTCATGGCTGACTATGAGCACAATGTGATCAGACTGGCTACTAGGCTCGAATTAAAGCGGAGCTTGCATGCTGACAAGGAAGCCTGGTGGACCAGTAGGGCTCAAGAAATGGAGGAGGCAGGAGCAGTAGGCGATTACCGCAAGCTCTTCCAGCTGATCCGCATCACTGGTCCCAGAAAACCAGGCATCTCTGCGCGGGTACACTGATACACAATAAGGAGCGCCGTATGACTCGTTGGACGGAGCACTTTCAAGATCATTTCAGCTGGCCCCCTGCTCCCGGATCTATTCTTACTCAGGTGATGCAGGACCAGCCATGGACGGTAGTTTAGAGCCTCCGTCGGAGGCCGAGGTCCAAACGCGATCACAGTCCTTAATCGTTTTCGTGCGGCTGGCCCGGATTCCCTCCCGCCTGCACTATTTAAGGAAGGAGGTGAGGTCCTCTGTAAAGCACTGACCTCGTTATTTGAACGTATCTGGAAGCAGGAGAGTGTCCCGGCTAAATGGTGCGAATCGATTATAGTAGCCATATAGAACAAGGGCAGTAGCACAGACTGTCCTAGCCACAGTGGTATTAGTCTGACACCAGTTGTGACAAAATGACTGGCCTTGATTCTCGTTCGTCGCCTCACTGTGGAAGAGGAATCTCAGATTGGGGAAGAGCAGGCCGGTTTCCGCCCAGGACGTGGCTGTTTACACCATATATTCACTTTGCGGCAGTTGTTATGGCAGCGTTACCCATGCCGCAGACCGACAATGGCTGTGTTCCTCGATTTCAAGAGTGCGTTCGATTCAGTCGATCGATCGATTCTGTTCGAAATACTTGCTGGGAAAGGTGTTCCCACGAAATATGTGAACATCCTTCGTGTTCTATACTCGAACACTACAGGCCGCGTCAGGGTCTACGGTTGCTTGTCGGATAGCTTTCCGACTACAAATGGCGTTCGTTACGGTTGTGCGATTTCCCTATTTTGTTCAATCTCGTCATGGATTCTATCCTGGAGTGTTTCCATGCGGAATCTTACGATGTATTCGTTGAAGTGCCTGGTGAAAGATTAATGGATCTTGATTATGCGGACGATATCATCTTGCTTTTCGATGATGTTGCGGCGGCACAATCAACCCTGAATAGTCTGTCTAGAGTGGTCTCATTATTAGGCATGCACTTCACACCTACAAAGAGTTGCTGCAGGACCACCAGCCACTTTACGACCTCTTGACCCTTACCAACGAGGAACTCGAGGTGTTGATCAATTCACTTGTCTTGGTAGCTGCATCAGCAACGATAGGCGCATAGAAACTGATGTCAGCTCACACATTGCGAAGACCAGAGCTGCCTTCGTAAAACGTGCGGCATTTTGGCGACAAACGGGAGTTTCCCTCCGTCTGAAAGGGCTTGTATACAAGGCCGTAGTGAGAGCCGTTCTGCTCTATGGTAGTGAGACATGGCCCCTTCGGTCTGAAAATTTGAGGCATTTTCAAGTCTTTGATCATCATTTTCTGCAAAGCACTGCTGGTGTCGGATGGCACCAGCGTGTCTACAACGAAGATGTGCGTAGGCGAGTACTAGGTAGTGATAATCATGCTAGCACCGTAGAACAACATATCGCACTGACTAAGTTTCGTTGGCTTGGGCACGTGCTACTTATGCCTGGTCACCGCTTACCGAGGAGGGCCTTGTTTTGTTTGCCAGCTGTAGGGTGGCGCAAGGCTCGAGGTGGACAGAAGTTGACTTGGCAGCGGAAATGAAGTCACTGATGGCCAAACTGGGTGCCGTTGGCCCGTCTCTCCTCCCTGGCTGGAGTCCACGTGACTTGCCTTGTGCTTGGCTCGAGATTTTACAGGACATCGCTCGAAGTCGGTACCAGTGGCGCGTCTGCTGCTCTCTGCTAGTCGGATTGCCTGTTTAAAGTGTGTTTGGTGCTATCTGCGGGGTAATGGCTGATTGTGACGGGGTGCAGTGAAAGCCGCAAGGAAGCTGTCTCGCCGATGCCGCCTTATTTTTGCACGATATCCAGTTGTTTGTGACGGTATGTTGTCTACACAAGGTGTAGGCGCCTTGACCCTGAATGTTTGCTTAGGGCATTAAGGTTTTCCGGTAAGTCTCCTTTCTCTCTTATTATTCTTTATTTCATAGGTCATCATGGTTATATGACAGCGAAGCATCAGTTCAAATGGCTATTGTACTGCTGTTGTTCTGGAGAAGTCATAGACAGACAACAGGGAAACAGAGGAAGCATGAAGTCAAACTTCACATTTAATATACAAAGTACTGAAATCATTTTAACTCTGGGCTGGCAAAGGGACAACTGTCTTTACTAACCGTTTCGCATTCTCACGTTGACTAGGATTTGATAGCCAGATATCGGGGTACTCGACTTATGGTAAACTAGATATGATGTTGTCATTCACGGTTAGATTAGGGTAGACATTTATAATAGATTTTAACTTATCAACATGAAGAATAGCGGATATTACATCATTACATTCAGAAGCGTTAAGACATATGGGTAATGGCTATTGTCACCGACTTGGCGAGTAAAAAAGTGCCAGCCTGGAAAGAGTCAGGCATTGAAATGGGCTGCATGACTTTAAAGAGTATAGAGAAAAAGATAGAGAGCTTATTTCTCTCTACGAGCATATTACTCACTATGCATGACAGCGACCCTAAAGATAAGCTAATACGGTGATGGTTCACTTGTTCTTATGCCACATCAGCACAAAGCCAGATGAGGCGTGGATGTGCGGATGAAACCATTCGAAGAACTGCGTCGCATTGAGGCAGTTCCCCACGAGATGTTTCCACAAATAGCCGTATTACTTTACTTGAAGTTTATTCAATAACCACTTTCACCATACTTTCAAGTTATTTGTCTTTCTAATCTTTTTGACTAGTCCAGCTCCCCGAAAATCTGTCTTGGAACTACTTTGGATAATTTTCATAATACCTACCCTTTGTGGTCCTATCGTACTTATTCAACAGCTTACCTAGCTGGGCTGTATATTGCACAGTCGAGAAATGTACCGCTTAGTATTATCTCACCAAATTGAGTCATTGTCATTCCATTCGCCAGTTGCACACTTTTTCCTTACTGCATTTCAGTCACGTGCCTTCAGGAGGCGGTGGTGGTGGCCACATGCACACCCGCGACTCTGGATGTACAGGTGACGGGCGCGTTATGGCGGAGTCCCGAGTTCCAACCAGTCCCTCAAAACCTAAAGTTAGTCTCATGCTATATACTTACCTACACTGGAGATGTACTCGTCGTGGTTTTGACATAACTGGTGTTGTTATTGGAGCCTCATCTATGGCTGACTGATTGACGCTTATTATCAACTCTTCCTCACCTCAAGCTGCTCTTTTAGTGATCAAGTATTGCGCCAGTTGCACCCACGCATTGCTGCAATACCACTACTCCATCGATTATGATGCCATCATGTGATAACCCAACGAATACTGACGTTTTGGCAGCTAGACTCGAGAACTGGTCACTCCGAATGTCTCGATATGTTTGTGTGTATCGTGGGACATGGCATTCGGACCTACTCTGATAGAGCATATCCCGACTCTGTTCATGTTTTCTTCAGATGCGTAATATGGAGAACATCTGGAGATTCCGAACAGCACTGTGTTTGACACGGAAAATACATTCCTTTCAGATTTTATTTGATAGACAAATCAGAACGCAGTCAGCATCGACCAATGAAGATGCAGCATCGGGCGCCCCATGGATGTATCGTCTTCCGCCAATGCAGTTCGGTCGTAATTTTCACTAGTTTCATGGGTGCATAATAAGACCTGCATAACTTTCCCATTTGTTCGATTTAGCACAATTTCTACGTAGGTTGTCTGTGCTACGTTGCTGATTATGCCTCGGTGCAGTGAAGATCGCCAAGAGAGGATCTCATCGTGGTCCATCGTCGAGTGGTTCACGCGGATAAGTTGTTACCCACAGGTCGCCGGTTCGAACTTACTAGGTACGAGCGGCCTTGCAGTATCTAGCTCGCAGGCGATTGATGCTAGTCGCTTGGCAGCAAGGCCTGGCCACAACAAATCACCGTACTGCACATGCTCTTTTTTACCTTACACGATAATTGGCCGTTTCTGACCGCCGTCATTCGTCCTGCACATTAACTCGGGATACTACATTTTCACACTCGACCACTCTTCTCCTCTCTCTCATCCCATTTTTGTGACACGTACACGTGGTATAGCAGCGAGGTGGCATTAGAAGTTATTGTCCTCGTTTTTTGTTTATTCGCCCCCAAATAAAGTGCATATCGTCATTCATTAACACAAAGTATACTCTAGACAAATCAATAACGATCCTTGGAACGTTTTATTTCAGTCTATAAGAAAAGTGACTGGCAGCTTTCCACGGTGGTGACAGATCTGTTGTATCAGTCGGACTTATTGTTGCCGACTCTGATTTACTTTACCTGTGACAGCTAAGCGCCCACAGAGGGACTTCAGTGACGATGAATCGCTCGTGCCCACGTCTTGCTTGTGCCTCCGATCTTTGACGTGTAAGTCACTGCTCTGTGAGCGGAACGACAAGCCGCTTGTTCTCACAGCTGTCTCCGAATTGCGCACCGGGTAACGATACCTTTTCGTGTCTAGAAAAATGTGTCACTCTTGGCAGCCAATTTGTGTGCTTCCGTTGACTCGATCTCACAATTTTTGCATGGCGTCATATACATGTGGTGACGCTGAGATGTTGTTTTGTTGTTAGTCCAAGACCGAGTATGTTACAGGGGAGTGCGGCCAGGGTTTTTCAATGTATAAATCAGCAGTATGGCCACTACCAGTTGCGGGTATTATGAGGTTGCTGGTTCTCTCTCCACTGAAGCTTTAGGATCAGCATCCATACTTTTCATTGCGAGGATCAAGCGCATAGTGTTGCTACCTTTTGGTGGACTGATAGGTAACCTCTGGGCGCCGCAGTGAAACTTCTACAGTATCCGGTGTACTCTTCTTGTCACGTGTTTTCGCTCCCCCAGGTGTGAGTGAGAAATCTAAATCAACTGCCAGGAACATTTAGTTGGCTTGGTAAGCGCGGTATTCAAGCACGTGATATTACATCGACCATGCCAACTATCCTGGTGACAAAATTGGAGACATCCTCACACTCGGTTCTGCGTTTCCCGTAGTCGATTTCACTGCACATTGTTCTGCTCTTTTCCTTGTGTTGTGGGGACCGCATAGTTCGGTGAAAACTTCTCTGCGAACGTCCTTTGCCAATCGTCATACATTGCATTTGTCAAGGCCGTCGTGATAAACCGAATTAGAGCAGCTTTATGTGTCCAAAAGCAATTAGTTGTCAACCTGCAGTTGCCGTGGTTCTAATGCCAACAACATTGACTACAACCATGGAATTGATTGGATTGGTTGTGCTCTCTGATACTTATAGAGAGCCTTCCCAATTATTTTATTGGTACTGACGGGATAATACGAAATGTGAGCATCTACCAATGTTCATCTTCTCATTTCCTTGTTCAAACTCTATATTGTTGCATTAGGATGATACTGCAACGCCTGTTTGTGGCAACATTATCAAAAGACGACTACACCTGCTCTCCTCCCAGACACGTGCCAATTCCTCGACTGCGTGCTCTTTCAGTGATACCGTTGATCGGTAGCAATTACGTCACTCTACCAAATGCTTTCGTCATCCATTATCGGGTGGCAATTACGTCACCCCGACGACTACCTTCCGTTATCGAGGCTACCATAGTGCATAGACCGTGAATCGCCTTTGGATTCAACCTAAAAGCGCTTCCGCTGAAGGGCATTGTGTTTTCAAGTTGGATTTGGAAGCACGCTGTGTGGTTGGGTTGCGACTCGCAATCTTTTATTGAGACCTCGGATCACTTTGAGCTAAACCTCGGTCATTCCGATCTCGAGGACCGTATCCTGAATGGATATATTTGGGTATTGGGAAGAGCAACATCCAAATATATCCAAGGCACTGTGTTTTCTCTATCAGGGGTCATGAGTAGTCGTACGGTTTTATTGTTCGCCTCGAGGAGATAGAGGCCCTTGAGAGGCGTCAGTCAGAGTTCGATCAACCAATTGCTTGCGCAGCGCACAGTTCACAAGAGTCCAATTCTTTGCTCCAATTAGAGCGCTACAACACCTGTACTTCTCCCGTTTTCGGTTGCTGGTGTAATGGCCAATCACTACGTGGCTGGCATCACTCTGGTCGGCCCTATCTCGGTGCTTACTGGATCCACACTTTTAAATCTAGCTTCTTCACAGCGACTGTGTGAGCCGCGTAAGAACATCTTCACACTGCACGTTTTTTCGATGCGATTGTCGATCACAGCATCAATTTTTAAAACGATGCTTTTGTACGACGTTCTAATTCCATTTATTTGGCCATACAACTCATTCAGCATATCATAATGTTAGGTAGCATCCATAGAGATAGTCCCTGCCCATTTCATGACTCCAATTCCACCACAACTTTGTGTTATCCTCCCTTGGAATCCGTTATCCAGGGAGTTTACCGTTGGGAAAGCGTGCCGGCCCGAAACAGCCACTGAAAGATCACGACTTTCAGAGGCAATCATTGGGACCGAACCACACGCGAAAGCAGCTTCTATACCCTTTCCAAGTGAACTTAGGCCCCAAGGGTTACGAGTTCACCTGACTGGTTATCAAAATCCTCTGGGACCATTACAGGTTAGTCTGAGTGTAAACCAAATTCAGTCGGGCGACAATGACATGCACGCCTCCAGTTAATATGGCATGGATGCACGGACATAGCAACGTGTGCGCATGTATGGGACACAGCCCGGATTAGTTCGCGTGCATCTTGTCACCGGGGCGGTGACCGAATGCATGACGGGGGTGGGTGTAGTAACCTGTTAGTGCCTGAGGTCAGCAACTGTGTGCTAGGATGGAACTGGGTCGGTGCAAGATAAGGAATTTCGGCGCGACCCTCAGCACCTCTATAACAGTGCCTGTTGACGAAAATGGCTGCTGGCTATTCGCATTCTGACACGGCAGGCAGTCCAGGTCGGTAAAAGCTAGCGCGTACTGTGGACACTTGGCGTGCGCGAGTGAACAGGCTAACTTTGGCGAAATCGCAAGTGGGTATGGGCTCCTGTCACTGGTACGATGGCCGCAACGCACTAGGCGTCCTGGCATCATGCGATTGTGCTGGGCGACGTACCAATTTGTGCACTGAGGTTGTAATGCAGCTGAACATATGCGTGATCTGTGTGCTTATTCCGCAGCTAGCACGCACTACGTTTTGAATCAGCGGGCGACATACAATGAATAATTAAGTGAATACTTGAGAAGCGCCGCAATCTGATAGAGTGTTAACCATAAAATCCTACGATGAAAGTGACACCACAGTTTGGCGTACGCTGATGCAGCGATAATATCATGATATACTAGGAGTGGAGGTGTAGCGACACAAGCCAAAGTTGCGAATGGGATGTGTACGTATAGATCGGTATACGGGATCCTTGTACGCTGTTTCGCGCTTCTCCATTTTGCGGATCCGGAAATGCCTTCCTAGTGAAGGCGCGTGTAAATGAGTATCGTTTAATTCACAAGTTACAAATCGCGCCCGATCAGTGTAGCGTCTCAGAACGTGGGTGTTCAAGGTGGGTCACCTGGTTATCCATTAAGTATCACAAGATATCGTACAGCACTGTGGCCGTGCGAATGTGACCGGAATTCACTACTTAACGGAAAGTGGATGAACAACATTGATGACCACCCACTACTATGTGTACTGACATCGAGCAGTAAGAAGGCGCATAAGCCCCTTGACTGTTAACAGTGCGTATTCAGCAACGGATTTGGCGTTCCAGGAAACCTTTCTTTGACCCGGTGCTACAAAACTGGAACGGTTCGGGCGTCCTAAACAGTTTGTTGATACTCGAAAGCAGTGTTACAGAGCCAGACGTTTTAATGTGCATGGTATCCGACTTGCTGCTTTACGGGTAAGGCCTTTGCAAACTAAGACGCGAGGCGGGGTTACGTAAGTCAATCCACTGCACTTACCTGCATAACTGAAAAGCGCTATCCGCACACAACACACATGGACATGAATCTACGTAGTCCTCCGATCGCTAACACGACACATTCACGCTAAAACTATCGGAAGATACAAGTGGTGAAGCCGCTGGCAAGACCAGTGTAGGAATTACATTTAGCGCCTGCACGCGCAAAAGCAGCGCTACTTGTTTGGCACCCAATTAA